AATACCTTAATTTTTAGTGTAAAAAATTCTGGTGTATTTTTTTTCCCAAAACATTCTTTGTACCGGCCCAGTGCGACCCAGTGCTCTGGCTCCGCCCCTGGTCCCAGATCAAATCATATTTCGACAGTTATAAAATATATGGGTCAGATATTTATCAGATCAGTCTAGTACAGATCAAACCAGACCATAAAATTTCAATCTAAGTAAAAACATCCTTATTATCTAAAGATAGGAGTAAAACCAATATGATGTTCCAGAATTGGTTTACTATGTTTCTTTCGCCAAACAGTAGCACGTCAATTACTACTATGTAGGGAAATACCATCTTTGTAATTATCAAACGCTAATATGGCAGTACAAACATTATAATTGATAGCATTTTACAAGCAATTGGTAACTATTACGGACTTACGGAGTATTTAAAGAAAAAAACAGTCTTCATATTTTGGAGTATCATTTTTTTTGGAGGATGGAAATTGGGTGCTATGCATTTATTTGGACTCATATTATTTGTACCCATATATTCCGTATATATGGGTTTTTGTTATCTAGATTACTTTTTTGTCCTAGGCTCAGACTAGTCTGATGTCTCGGGACGTTGTGCGAGTGGTAATTACGTGACATTTTATACCCACCCTATGAAGAGTTTTTTTTTTTGTCTCTGAGTCCACTTCACAGTTAAAATATTTCTTATTTTGTCTGTAAATGGAACTCAGACAAAAAAAGTCTTCACAAATATGAGCGGATATAAGGTGAGTACACACATCATTTTTTATTTGACATTGAAGTAAAATATACGAGTACATCCTATTGTGTAAAATTTGAAAATGTATAAAAGAAAACAATTTAACATCAAGAAATTATGGAAACTCGAAAAACAGGAGTCGTCTTGAATTGACTTGTGTGTCACACCCTATGTGGCATTTGAAATCAACTTGGGAAAAATGCTTTTGGCATACAAAATGTGTACACATGTGTATCCTTCGAAGAAAATTTGTCTGTCACAGACAATTCATAAGGTGTGACACAATGAGAGACAATTCATAGGGTGTGACAACCTCGACAATTCATAATGAATTGTCTGTGACAGACAAATTTTATCCGAAAGACAGACACGTGTATACATTTTGTGTACCCCAAGCAAAAGCCATCAACTTGTAGGACAAAATGAGAAAATAATTTGTGATTGCACAGAACAATTTTCTTACTACTGCAATTACTGGTTGTTTAAAAAGATCAATAATGCTCTTTGGTTGGGTGTATAAATCTAGACGTATTATCTCAATCAAAACTTTAAATCGGTCGGTGGGAAATAATATAAACAAATGTTGTATTCAACAGATCGCTGACTTTTACGGTACGTTAGTTAAGCTATTGACATCAATTTACTTGACTGAGCGGTAACTTCCGCATTTGGGCACTGCATATCGCCATTTAAGCCCTTGGAGTTTGTAGGTTTTCCGGAAGTTCCTATACAGATAATGAATTAAAAATTGGTTGCAGTAATGTCACCTTGAATCTTTTTTTATACTCCTGTTCTTAAAATAATGCTGCCTAGCTAGTTCTATGTCCATACGTTTTCATATCATTCCAAACACTTTAAGATTTCAACTTTAGGATTCAATGTGACATTACTGCAAGCAATTTTTAATCTAATACATAGTAAATGTTACGTTGTAACATGTACACACTATCATGAAACAATTAATAATATCGTCAGTCAAATATCGTAAATCAAGGCAGAATGGGCCAGAGAGTACATATACAAAGTATTTCATGAAACGAAACATTAATGTTATTTTAATTTAAGTTCTTCCTATAAAATCGCTAAGCAATTATGAAAACCCATGAAAATGTAGAAACTTTTAGGTATGTACAGGGGCGGACCGTAGTGCAGACCCAGGGGGGCTGCCGCCCCCCCAACAATTTTTTTTAGTGTATATATATATACAAAATTTTTATTTTTACCCCCCCAACATTTAATTCTCGCCCCTCCAAGAAAAATTTTGAACCCCCTCAAAAAATATTTTCTCCCCCAAATCATAGCCCACTCGCACAAACCCAATTGTTTAAGAGTCTAAAAAAATAGAAATTTTACAAGTAATATTATATCAACTCACTCCAAAATTTATTCCCCATTAACCCATCCCAAAATCTAATCCCAGCCCACAGCCTAGACCAAACTAATGAAAAACATGTGCACCTAGAAGAAAGAAACGGAAAGATCAATTATTTTTAAATGATTGTCCTTATGCCTGCTATGTTAATTGCTTAGCACATCAGTTGCAATTAGCATTGGTTGCTGCTTCTAGAGAGGTGAAATCTGTGCACAATTTTTTCATCGATTCAGTCTTTATTATTAATGTGACTAATTCTTCTTGCAAACGAAGTGATGAATCAAAGGAAGCTCAAGCACTTGAAATTGCAAGAATGTTGGAAATTGGTGAGCTTGAAACAAGCAGAGGACTTAATTAGGTTGGTACATTACAACAAGCTGGGGAAACTCGTTGGAGCTCACATTTCAGTTCTGTTTGCAGTTTGATTAGGATGTTTGCTGCAACTTGTTCTGTTTTAGAAGATGTTGAAGAGAATGGCAATAACTATTCTACTCGTGGAAATGCAGCTAGAGAACTTAAGAAGATTAAATCTTTTGATTTTGTTTTCTTGTTGCATCTTATTAAAGAAATTATGGGCATTACAGATCTTCTATGGCAGCATATACAGAAGAAGTGCCAAGACATAGTAAATGTTATATATGCATTTGGTGTCAAGCACCAAAATGTTGATCCAAAAGTTAAGGGAGGGTGGATGGGATAACTTCTTAGAAATTGTTAAAGAGTTTTACACAAAGCATGAAATTGAAGTTACTAATATGAAGTCTCCTTATGCGATAAAACGCAAACGCCATGATCAAGAAGGGTTTGATATTGAACGTCACTGTCGGGTTGATATGTTTTACGCAGCCATAGATTCATAATTGTTGGAGCTGAATAGCAGATTCGGTGAACAGATAATGGATCTTCTTACTCTTAGTGGTGCTTTGGATCCTAAGGACTCATATAAGTCTTTTAACATTGATTATATCTGTTCTTTAGTGGATAAATATTACCCCTTTGATTTTATTGAGCAGGAGAAGGTGAGCTTGAGGTTTCAATTGCAACATTATAAGCTCAATGTTCTAAACCATCCAAAGTTGGCGAATTTTTCTACAATTGGTGAACTTTGTCAAAGATTAGCGGAGACGGAGATGTCAAAAGTGTACTTTCTTAGCTTGTTGATAAATTGATCCGACTTTTGTTGACTCTACCGATTTCGCCAGCAACAACCGAAAGGACTTTTTCCGCAATGAAAATTATAAAAACAAGGCTTCACAATAAAATGGAGGATGAGTATGTTGCACACAACCTTATTGTTTATATTGAAAGAGAAATTGCTAAAACTTTTGACTAAAAAGCCGTGATTGAGGCTCGTTGAAACAGCGTTGGGTACAATTCTAAGGTACTAACTTTAACTATTTTGTAATAATATATTTGTCTCTTCTTCTATTATAATGCTTCATTTAATTACTACACCGTATTATATTAAGGTTATAACTTATAATAATAATAATCGCCTAGATTTTTTTTTGTTTAAATTATCGCCCCCCAATATCAATTTCCTGAGTCCGCCCCTGGGTATGTAGAACTAAAATTGGGTATGTAGAACTAACTTTTAGGTAATGCCCGAAGTAGTTGAATTGCTCAAATTGTAGAAATTCCAAGTGAATTGATTGATTCAGTTGAATTACGAAGAACAATACATTCGAGTATACTCCGTGTTTATTGATTAAATAAAGAAACCAAAATAGCCTTTTTGATCAAAATCAACCAATTTCGGAAAAAAATACTTCCAATCTTATTTATTTTATTGCTCATCGCAAAATGCAGCACCATCAAAACTTTAATGTTTGGTATAATTTTTTTTATTGTGGTATAAATTTTATTGATAAGCTGAAAACATAAGTTAGGAAATTCTATCCAACAAGATACGTATTACGGAAATCCCACTCTTTTTTGGTAGTGGGAAACAAGCAATCACTTCTCAATAGTCAATAGGATGTGCCTATTGCTTCAACCACTCGCGATGGATATATTTGGAAAAACATTATTATTTGGCTCCTTGAGTCTTCCAATTTTCTATTTTGTGCCTCACCTATTTTATTTTGTACCTCCTAAATAGCATTAAAATATTATTACTCGGTATATGTTTTTTCAGTAATACATATATTAATGTAGGTTTAAGAAACTTTACCCATACATGGTGGTTATAAATGAAGACAAGGAATGAACATTTTGCAAGCACTGCACTTGTATTGTATCTTGTCTTTATGTATGGTAGCGTTTTGGTAAAGAAACTGCTCATCAAATAACAGTTTTTTTTGCAGTGCTCAACTAAGAGTTAAGCATGGAAAATATTCAGATTAGGACTACTAGTTTTTTATCCTCGAAATAGAATTTATTTTAGTCGTATTTCAACAAATGAGTGATGTTTCAAGTGCTATTTTTATCCCCCATAAGATGTGATCTTTATCCTTTTTAACGAAATGTTTTCACTTGAATTTGTTCCAACCTAACTAAATGAATCAAACTTAAAAAATCCGACGGACTTAACTCAAAAAATAGTAAAATAAACATATAAATTGACTATACTAGATTAGCCAAGATTTAGAACATGTCAAATGCAACAGTGTGCATGGCGGACATGTGACATGAAAGAGATAGACACATAAAAGTAAATTATTGAGATTTTTCTCTCCTTTTCACGATTTTATATAATTTTGGTAAGAATGTCAACCACAATGTCTACATCCAGATGCTCTTAAGCACACCAGATTAGATCAAACCAGACTTTAAGTAAAACTATTCTAAATTGACCATCCATCTGACTAATAAGTAAGCAGAAGCATAATTCTATAATTGAAACTTGAATTGTGACCCCTCAACGAACATGGTTGATAAGAAAAAAAGCTTGAGTTTGCCAGCCAGTACACCACTTTCCCGCCCACCTAACATATATTTTCATTTCTTCTTCTCCATATAAGTCTATCTCCCCCATCTTCGCATGCACATTGCACACCACCACCTCACTCTTAGTCTTTCCTCTCCATATTCTTGAAGAAACGAAAGCACAAAAAGAAAAAAAATGAAGTCTTTCGTTGTCTCAATTCCCTTCTTCCTAGTCGCAGTTCTCCTATGTTGTTATACCATAAACATTGCTCATGCACAGGCCGCCTCCGGCCCGGCCCCTGCCGGTCCGACGAATATAACCGCAATCCTCGAGAAGGCCGGCCAGTACACCACCTTCATCCGCCTCCTCAAAACCACCCAAGTCGGTGATCAAATCAACAACCAGCTCAACACCACTAACCAAGGATTGACGGTTTTCGCCCCCACTGACAATGCCTTCTTGGGGCTAAAACCAGGAACTTTAAATTCCTTAACCGATCAAGAAAAGGTTGAGTTGGTTCAGTTCCATGTTGTGTCCTCTTTCTACACAATCCCACTCTTCCAGACTGCGAGTAACCCTTTGAGGACTCAAGCCGGGAACAGCGTCGGGTCTTTCCCGTTGAACGTCACATCTGCGGGGAACCAAGTCAATGTCACCACCGGAGTGGTCAACTCCACGGTGGCTAATACAATTTACACTGATGGTCAGCTGGCAGTGTATCAGGTTGATACCGTGCTTCTTCCTATCGGCCTCTTTGGAACTCCGGCACCAGCGGCGGCTCCCGCCCCAAACAAGTCGAAAAAGAAGCCGAAGGCAGTGGCTGATGGTCCCGTCGCCGGTGGAGATGCTTCTCCGACGGATACGTCCGCTACAGTTGGCGTGCATGGCATGTTGGGGGCAGTTCTTGGAGTTGCGGCTTCGATTGCGTTTATGTTGTAACATTTGTGTATCGAAGGGTCGAGATTGTGCCACGCGGTTAAGTGAAGTCAGTGTGTGTCAGAATATGGTGTGCCGAGTTTGAATCGGACGGTAGATATTGATTGAGTGGTTGCCTTCTGAATAATTATCTAGGTTTTTATTTTTCCGTACCAATGCAATGTAAGAAAAATACAAAATTCAAATTTCAATTTTTTCCCTATTTGTATTGCTTACCTTACCAACCAGAGAAAACACAAAAAAAAAATTATGGAAAGTAGTTTCTGTACATAAGTTCTTATATTAACGTGTATACGAAGTATTTTTTTTGTTCAAACATACACATCTATTATTCTATTAATTTCTTCTTTGACCATGAACTGACAATAAGTCAATAAGCCCAAAAACTTTTATACAAGTGTGTGCTATTCTGATAGTGTTCTAATTAGGTAGTGGATCCAGAAACCCAGTTCAATCACTTAGGGAAAGGTAGTGAGATGTTTCCAATTAAATTGAAACAATTCTATTGTTGAAATTTGATCTGTTGTGAAACTGAAACCAGTAGAAATGAAAACATAAGAGTATAGCTAAGCTAAGTTCTTGATTTGTTGAAATGAAAACGAGGTGGACTTTTCAAGTACAATAACCTAATTAACCCGGAGATGCCTGTAATTTGTTGAATTTAAATTTTCCCAAGTGTTATTTTTCATCTTGCTATATATGCATGTAACAAATTATTGGTTTCTTTTAAATTTTATTGTTGCAGAACGCCAGAAGATCTCACTTGCATAATATATTAATATCTCGTATCCTAAGAAATTTCTCCACACAAAATACCAGAGATCTCGGAGCTAGTTTTCTTTAGTGCACCTAAAGCTCTTCCCGGGCCCTTGGTTGGAGGGCTTTGGACAACTTTCAAAATAACAATGTATCTTCAGTGTATCAATATAGGTTCGCAATTGATTCTCCATAAATGTTTTATCTACATTGAAAAATGAATGATTTTACAAATTCCGGCAGGTAACTTTCAGAATCAGAATATAACACAATAATCGAATAGTCCAGAATCAATAATGAATCGAGATATGTTAATTAGCGCAACAAAATCGTATTCTCAAGTAGCAACATCATCTCATATGAGTTCACTTTCAGAGGCTAGGTACCTCGCACATCCATGATAGACCAAACAAGGTAACATGAGACAGCTCCATGTGCATCATTGTAATATACTGCATAAACAAAATATGAGTTTTATTACCAAAAAAAGAAACCCATTTGGTAAATTCAAATTCTCTTTAGCTGTGCAATTGCTGGTTGAAAAACCATGGAACTCACTTGTACAAATAGGATGCAATCCCCAAAATGACAAACAGAAGAATGATATCAATACAGAAATTTTGGGTGGACCGGACCTGAAATAATATGGAGTATTATTTAAGAATGATTAAAGCTTTAAATAAAAAGGGCCTCCTATTTGTTTTGCATTTTAACAAGCAATAAGGTAAGAAATGTTTTGTAGCCAGTTCTGGTTTATTCTTCATAACACTTATTTAGCCGAAATAGTATTGGCACATGCCTTTCCTTTTCAGAAAAACTTAGCACATTACAGCAAAATAACCATTACCAATCGGACCCTAATTAGTATGTACCTTAGTAATAGTCTCCTTGAGTCTAACATTAGTGTTTTTTAAATCATATGTTGCCTGGTCCACCTACATATGAGGACACCAGAAGGGTATTGGATGGTAACAATAATCCAAAATTGATTAAAGTGCAGTAAATCCAACGGTCATATATGAAAAGCATGAACAACCTTGGTTTCAATTTCATCAACCAATGGAACTTGTCTATCCAGTTCCTGAGAAAAAAAGTCGCAAAACAATAAGATTGCATTTGCCTTCAACCAGAAAGCAACATACTTTCATTTCCCCCTTGTTCTCTTTCACTTTAGGGTCAGTGTGGAACACACAAACTACTTTGTAAAGAAAATAGGAAGGAAAACATGTTGATACAAGCCCAGTAAGAAATTATGTACGAAAATAAAAGCCGAGTAAACTCATTAAATTTATTTTAGATATATGTTGATACTCATTAAGTCGTTTTTATTTAATCATACATTATAATCAGTTATTTTTCCATCATTTGCAATGGATCAAAAGATTCATTACTTTTTGGCTTGAGAATATGATGAAATAAAGCAAAATGGCTCACTAAACTGTCTGCGCTTCTTTGTTATTAAGCAGCAGCAGTCAGTCCATGCAATTTTGGACGCGATTTTCACTATGGGTCATCAGGAAATAGTCTCTCTGTGCTGTAGTACAGGGGTAAGACTGCACACATCCGACCCCCCTTACCCTACCGTAGGTGGGAGCCTTTGCGGCACTGGGGTAAATGAAAATGAAAATGATTATCATCAATTAATACTAAACCTATAAAAGCTACATGGTACTTTTTTAGTATTTTATTTCCTTTCAAGACCATATAATGCGATCAAAACATACTCTTAAGTCTTAACTCTTAACTCCCTTATGCTATGTTTGGATTGTAGAAAATACTCGGGAAATGAAATAAATATTAAGGAAAGTAAATTTCATTATTTGGATTTAACTCGGAAAATGCAAAGGAGGATGAAATATAGTTTATGTTTTCATAGATTTTACATATGTTTAAATATGTGCTTAGGCTATGTTTGGTATGGTGTAATGCAATGCAATAGAATAGAGTATGTAATGCAATAAAATTGTAATGTAATGGAATGAAATCAATATTCCATTACTATGTTTGGTTAGTTGCGGAAGAACACCCGGGAGGAATAAAAAGTACAGATTTGAAAGGGATAAATTCATCTGTTGTGAGCAGGAGCAACTGGTCGCACGAAAAAGAAATACAAGAAAGTGTAATTTCAAGTACATAACTTTTCTAATGTAAAGCTTATTACACAAATTAAAGTAATGAATTCTACATACGCAATGCACATTGCATTACGGTTTATAATAAAATGTCATACCAAACAATGTATTTGAATCAACACGTAATGTTCATTACATTACATGATTGATTACATCATACTATACATAACCTTAGTGTTTATATGATAAAATTCAATAAATAATACCATGTAAACGAATTAGAAACAATACTTTTCTTTCCTCAAAATTTTCTTTCCCACCAGATTTCTCATACGTAGGGCATGTTCGGCACAACTAGCTGAAAAGATACTTTTGTGAGCTTTTTAATAGCTGTTAGCTTTTAGTGACTGGAAAGATCTTAAAAAGAAAAGATGGTAACTGTTTGATAAAAAGCTGACTGTTTGATTTAGTTCGGTTTGGTATATAAGCTGTTAGGATTAATTAATACTAAAAGTCACTAGCTTTTCTTAGATGCTACTCTCGGTAGCATCTCAAAAAAGATCTTTTAATTTTTGAAAAGCTCTTAAATATTGTCATGCCAAACACACAACTAGAAGCTTTTAGGAACTTTTTGAACAGTACAAAAACTAGAAATCAGGGACTTATGCCCGCCAAACATAGCCATAGTATATTTTAACCCGTCATTTATTTCCCTAGCATTTCCGTGTTCCAAATGGATCCTTAGTGGGCAGGGAAGGGCAGAATAAAGGGAGTAGGGAGATTAACCTCGTTCATATCATGAGCCAAATTCTTAAGTGTGTCCAAACCTTCTGAAATAATATCCAATCCTTGGTCCTGCAAGAGTTCATTCAGATATATGTAGTCTCTTTATGATGCTGAAATAATCTCATATTACAAAATCGAAGTATTCAAAAACATATGGTGCAGAGGAATAAGATGAGGGAAGTTACAAGCCTGTTTGATTTTCCTCATCTCGTACTCATTCCTAAACTGGCTGGATTCTTCAGACTGCTGAAAGAAACTATCGCTAACAGGCCCATCTGTACATAATAAATTCTAAAACAGTCATAAAGCATGCAACAAACATTACAAGAGATGAAGTTTGAGGAAACACTAATGGAAGTGTCACCTACCTGAATCGATTGTTATGATTTTAGAAGACGATGAACCCCCCCGAACCCCAGACTTGGCTGAACTTGTATCATTTGTTCCATCAGGTATTGCTTGGATCCTTTCAGGTAGTGCAAGTACAATGTCTTTACGTATCGCTAATTCTTCTTGTGAGATGCCTTTAACCTGTTGGCAATCCAAATCAAGTTAAAAAAAGTGCTTTTAACTTTTTTTTTAAGAAAAAAGCACTTATTTTACCAAACACTACCAACTTTTACTTTCTCGGCTTCCGTGAAGAATCTACTTTTTATTTTTTCTATTAAACAAAAAGCACTTATTTTACCCAACACTATCAACTTTTACTACTAATCACTTTTTCCCCAAAAGTGCTTTTATTTAAGCACAAGTGGTTGCAAACAAAGCCTTATACTCTTCCTTTATCACTTCTAGGGATTATTGAAAGGTGAAATTACATTGACTCATTTAAATACATTAAAGCTAAATCAGCACTTTACATGAAAGTCAGTAGAAATTCAGATCAATAAATCATAATATCAACAAGTTACGACTGAACATGTCCTACTTGATGAAAATGGAAGCTCATTGAAACAGAAAAATCTGTGAATTCTGTATGCTCGTTATCATATATGCTCATGGATTGAGTTTACTATGGCTATCAAATTAAGATTCAAAGTTTCATAAAAAAATTCTATATCATCAAACTTATATAAGGGGCAGCAAAAGTCTTATAAGTTGGTCTATTAATTTATACTCCGTATTACACAAACATAAACTAAATAAACATACATATTATTCGAAATATTACACCAATTCAAAATGTGAGACATAAAAATACCTAAAGCCTAAAGCTAAAGGATAATAATATTAATAGACAATAAAGAATTAAAATCGTGACGAAACAAACCCACCTTCTTAAGAGCAAGTTTCTGCAACTTTGGGACTTCTTCCAACAATCGGGCCTTCAGACGCCGTACCTCAGCCTTCATGGCCACAGCGGCGGCCCTGTTTGTCTCCCTAGCCGCCATCTCCGCTTTCTTGAGAAAAGAAAAAAAATATAAATCTCTGTAGCAAATTCTCATAAATTTCTGATCAATAACAGAAACAGAAGAGGTAATTACTTGGAGAGCGAGGTCAATTTGTGAATCGAAAGACGTGTAGAGGCGAGCGAAGGCATCATCTGAGGATGCGTTGGTGGAACGCTGCTTCTCGACATCGTACTTCTCGTACTTCTTGCAAATCTCGTCGACTCGGAAGAGAATGTCGATCACGCTCATCTTTGCGCTGCCGGCGAGGGTGAATCTTGGAACGGATGTCGGGAAAGGGAATTGCTTCTTTTTCTCCCTTCCCTCCCTCCATTGTTTCTTTCCCGCTGTTCAACAGGAGTGGTCTGCGGGAAAATGGAGGTTCACCGTCTAATGCGCATCCAGCGAGAGACGGGTCGGATGGCGGGAGGCCGGGAGCCATGGAAATCACTCTATGCCTCTATTCTACTTTCATGCTTTTTTTTTTTACTTAAATGTCACTAACTTGTTTAAGGGAAAATAAGCCCTTATTTAAGAGACTTTGTCCGGCCGTCGCCATTTAGAATGGTTCTCGGTGGAATTTTTTGATGATTTTTTTTGAGCATTTTATTTATTAAGTCTAGTTTACTCATACCAAATTTCAGCTAAAACTTCAACCGGGAAGGCATTCAAATGAATTCTTGAAAATAACTGGGCAGTTAGAAGCACAGTTATCTTCAAGAATTCATTTGAATGCCTTCCCGATTGAAGTTTTAGCTGAAATTTGGTATGAGCAAACTAGACTTGATGAATAAGATGCTCAAAAAAATTCATTAAAAAATTTCACCGGGAATCACCCCAAATGACGACGGCCGGACAGAACTTCCTAAATAAGGGCTTATTTGACCTTTTTTTGTTAGTACATGGGCCTATTGCATCTTTTCCCCTTGTTTGATAAACCGGACAGGGAAGCGACTAGGTCACATGATCGGGTCATTGGTCAATCCCGACCTGATTGGTTAACACGGTCAACGTCATAAACCGGTCAACCATATAATAATGATAATAAATATGTAATTTTATACAAAATTAAAATATAAGGTAGTTATTTCATAATAATTAACTAATGATAATACTTACTAAGTATTTAAAGTTAAAACAATATCATAATATTCCAAAATATCATTTTGATCTCATTAAAATATACAATGACACACCTCATTTGTTATTTATATTGTACATTTATTATATAATTTGATACGGAGTATGATTTATTCTTAAACAAATAGTAGTAAGTGGTGCTACGTATATAAATATATTGCTTTTTTCTTTTTTATGGTATTGAAATTAGAACTTCATTGGTTAAAAATGCTTTAAAATTCAAATAAATAAAAAATTACTTTTGTTAAAACAACCAAAACCGGGGTTTTCAGGCCCGGGTTTGGACTGGGTCTTTCCGAGTCGGTCGGGGTTTTCCGGTTTTTGACCATTTCCGGGTTTTTAACTAATCGAACCGCGTTTTGGTCCGGGTAACCGGGTTCCGAGTCGACCCGGCCAGTCCGGGTCGTTTTTTTAAACACAAACTAACATTTATTTTTAATTTTAATGTAAAAATAATTACATATCTATTTAGTTTAAAAACGTGACATTTAACTTGTGGGGGTGGGCACAAAAAGCAAACCGAACAAGGACATAAACATTCTGTTTACCAATCGGAATATTTTTAATTTTTTAGAAAACTGGAAAACTAGAGAAGGGAAAACTGAAAAGCATGTTTACATGTTTATTCTCCAAAATTAAAAACAGAGACATATTTGATTTTCTTCTTAAGTTGGAGAACTCTCGCCACGTTTACTAACTAGAATATTTTCTATTTTTCCATAAAACTAGAAAAATTGAAGAAAGAAAAATTGAAAAACATGTTTACCTATCTAATCTCAAATATTGAAACATAGAGACATATTTCTGATTTTCTTTTCAATTTTCCAAAATTAAAAAATGAAAACACAGAACATGTTTATCGAAAATTTTTGCTAGAAAAATGGAGAAAAGAAAACATGCATTTACCAAATCATTTTTCAAAACCAAAAAAATGAGACATGTCTCTATTTTCCTTAATAAATTGGAGAAATGAGTTCTACTATTTTTTACAAATTTGACATACGCAGATGTTGCAGTGCTACTGCAATGAAATTGCATATTTATGCCTAGTGGTGGCATGGTCCTGCTCCGGTCTCCGTTTCGATCAGGTCCGGTCAAAAATCGGCGGTCTCTATCTGGTCCAGTCAACAATCGGGTGGTCCCTGTCCGATTTGGTCGATGACCAGGAGGTCCCTGTCCGATCCGGTCAATGACCAATCAGTCTCTATTTAATTCAGTAGGGCTGAGCAAAACCCGATCCGACCCGAAAAACCCGATATTTTTCTCGGATATTATCCGAACCGAAGTGGATATCCAACCCGAAAAACCCGAAACCAAAAATCCGATTAGTATTGGGCCTAGAACGGGTGGCGGGTAGGGTTTGTGAAATCCCAACCCGACCCACCCAAATATCCGAAATATATGTTAGTGTGTACTTTGAATATTTAAATTAATACTTGTGTTCAATTATTTGTGCAATTTGTATTAAATTATTTGAATGTATGTGTAGTGAACTAGTGTGTACAATTTTTGTTAAATTGGCATTCCAACACTTTAACTATCAAATTATAATGTGTTTTGATATAACCAAAATATCTGAAATATATTAAATTATGTAGTGTGTACTTTGAATATGTTAAATTAATACTTGTGTTAAATTATTTGTGTAATTATTTGTGCAATTTGTGTTAAATTATTTGTGTAATTCGGAAGTTTAGTGCACTAGTGTGTACAATTTTTGTCAAAGTGGCATTTAAACACTTTAATTATCCATTTATAATTTTTTTAATATAACCGAAATATCCGAAACCCGACCCGATATCCGATAATATCCGACTTAAAAATATCTGAAATACCCAATTTGAAATATCAAAGGGTCGGGCGTAGTATTTAAATTAAAAAACCCGAACGGGTTTAGGGTTTGCAAACCCGACCCGCCCGAACCCGACCCGTGCACACCCCTATAATTCAGTCCATGGACGGGTAGTCCAAGTCCGGTCCAGTTCAATCGATGACCTGACGGTTTAGTTCCTGTTTTTTGAAATCAGTTTTCAAAGTGAAGTGTTTCAAAAAAATCGTTGGGTTGTCAACCAATAGGGTAAAGAGAAAAGAATTAGTCAAACTAGTCGTTGGGACCGACCAGTTTTAGTCCCAACTATCTTATACCCGGGACTGGGCACCCTACTTCACTACTTTATCTTCCGATGGGTCCCAGAACCGAGTTAAAAATTTGATGAATATGTTTACAGATTTGGAAATGGAAAACTTAAAAACCAAAACAGAAAATTGGAGATAGAAAATATAGAAAATTGCATAACAAAAAGTAGAAAAGAATACTCGAAGATGTCTCTATAATTAAATGTGTCCTCACTTTTTGGTGTTTTTCAAAATGGATATACACAATGCTATATATATGTTGAGGTTAAGTCATCACATTTTAAAGGCCCAACATTGTCCCTTGAGCTTTGGTCAGATTCTTTTAGTTGATTGGTTATTGAGTGTGGTAGACAAGAATGAGGCACATGTAATAGAAAGTATTCAAAAGGCAAAGCCGGTCTAGTCTATTATGCCTTTAAAACGATTACAATTAGGGGTGTAAACGAGCCGAGCCGAGCCCGAGCATGGGTATGCTTGAGCTTGAGCTTGAGCTTGATAAGAATTCACGAGCTCGAGCTCGATCTCGAGCTTGGACGAGTTAAATATTTCGAGTTCGATCTCGAGCCGAGCTCAGCTCGAGCTGTATTCGAGCTTGATTCGAGCTCTAGTCAAGTTTCGCTAATTAATTTTTATAGATTTGAACTTGAATTAGATGCTCGAACTCGAGCTAAAAATATTATAGGTGTACTTTTTCATTCTCATTTTTAGGTTATTTCTTATTTACTAACATTTGTATTCTTATTTTATTGTCAATAAATATTAAGAGTACATATTATAATTATTACAGATTATGAGTACTCCCTCCGTCCCCTTTTAAATGTCCCGTTTTACCATATTGTGATGTCCCAATTTAATTGCCCCATACCTTATTTGGTAAACTTTGTGTGGCTCAAAATCATTCTTACTTTATTCTTACTTTATCAATTAATATCAACCACACAAACTCACTTTTCTTAAAACCCGTGCCACCATCTCCCGTCCCATTTAAAAGGGGGCGGAGGGAGTATAATAATAATACTACACACATGTTATTATTTTTGTAATTATTACTATTATAATATACTCCATCTGTGATAAGTATTGAAATGGAATAGTCCTAAATTGGAATATATATTTCAAAAAGTGTATATATATAATTATTACATATATATTTATTATATATAAAATATGACACATCGCTCGCGAACCGGCTCGCGAGCAACGAGCCTAAAATAAATAGGTTTGAATTGAGCTTGTTAACTATTCGAGTCGAGCCGAACTCGAGCCGAGCTTAATATGACCGAACTCGAGTCGAACTTTTTCCGAGCGATCCACGAGCGGCTCGCGAGCGGCTTGGCTCATTTACACCCCTAATTACAATATTTATGCCGAATCCGAGCTCCGACTCCCTGGATCAAACTGAAAATCACAAGAGAACCGGAGATAAATCTATTGCTAAATATATAGATTTGGACTTGAAAATGACTGAAGTCTATATAGATTTGGACTTTATGTCCGCTAAGTATGTTGGCCAACGATGAATATTGATTTAGCCGACTTGCTCCTTTTTTCTAGAAGAAAACAGAACTGGTCGAAACTGGAACAGTTATATCTCAGGATTCCAATTTTACAACAGTATTAAGGAAGAAAATTCAATTCAATGTGGGTGGGTAATGCAGAAGCTGGGCGGCTGGCCGCCCAAAACAGAACAGAAACAGTCGTATACGCGCGTACGCTCCTCGACCCCATCCGCCTTTGATCAATTCCCTGCAATGATCCAATGAATGTAGAGTATAAATATTGGACCAGCCGGCCGGCACCAAACAAAAATTAATCAGCTAGCTGCTAGAAATTAAGCATTATGTATACGTTCAGTACGAGAAAGCAGATGCCTTTCTCCTCTTTTCTTTTTACTGCTTCTCTGCTCATGATGATCTGTGTTTTCATTTGCCAGTTTGATGCAACACAGGCACAAGAAGTTGAGGACGAGAGGGAGTTCGATTACGACGAGAAGAGCGGAAAGGGCCCGGGGAGATGGGGAGAGCTGAAGAAAGAATGGGCTGCTTGCGGGGATGGAAAGATGCAGTCTCCCCTCGCCCTCTCCGCTCCGATCATCAAACGCCGCGGTGGCGTTCGCAAGCCGGGAGTTAAGATCACTAGGAACTCTTACATGCCAGCGAATGCTACTCTTCACAACCGAGGCCATGACATTTCCATTGAGTGGGTGGGTGATCCGGGATCCATTCCTATAAATGGCAAACACTTCTCCCTCAAAGCGGTTCATTGGCACTCTCCTTCCGAGCACACTCTTCATGGTACCAGGTATGATCTGGAGCTACACGCATTGCACATGAATACAGACCAAACGAGTGGAAAGAACACAACAGCTGTGTTTTCGGTTCTCTACCGCATTGGTCGAAAACCCAACCGGTTTCTCTCTCGGGTGACGAAGAAAATAGCATCTATGATGGATCAGGAAGGTGAAGTGAGAAATGCAGGGTTTGTTGATCCAAATAAAATCCAATTCATAAGCAATGATTATTACAGATACACGGGTTCTCTCACTACCCCGCCTTGCACCGAAGGCGTCATTTGGACTGTCAATAAAAAGATACACAACGTTTCCAGGAAGCAAGTAAAGCTGCTTCGAGAAGCAGTTCATGACTCTGCAGAAAGAAATGCAAGGCCTCTACAACCGCGCAACAATAGAGATATATATCTCAGACTGTCGTCTTGAGTGATCAACTGATCATAGTATCATAGATGATTATCATTAAAGAGAAAGTTAGAAATTTTGTCTCATAACTTATGCACATGACATACTCTCTTTTAGTCATGTAGTTTTAAGTACTTTTTTTTTATTTATTTTGATTTATCATGTGACTAGTAAATTCAAATATATTAAAGACTTTTTCATCTGAATGTACAATTTATGATGAAATATATATAACAAGTGATGGGAACTTGACCATCCATTAGACCCCCTTTGATGTTTGAACAACTCCATTGCAAACAAAAGCTGTGATCTATATTTTTAAAACAAAAGGAAAAATTTCATTGAATGTTGAGCAAATGTGATTACATAGAAAAGGTGAAAAGGAGAAATAGAAAAATAAAACAGCCAAAGCAAAGTATATGATAAATTAATTGATAACTCAACCGTAAGTACTAGGAATATCGATTCATATGTGATTGAGATCTCGTTATCATGATATGCTATTTCTATAAAGTTTCATTTTCGTGTTGAGATTCTGTCTAAACAAGGTTTGATCTATCATATACAAACATAATAGTGAAGGCAAAATATTTTGTGCGCTAAGCTAACCGCAACCCAGCCCGTCAATAAATCTAATTTTCTACCAATTTATACGTATTCACTCAATCAATTCAGTTTTTTCCTGCAACCCAACACCGTCAATATATTCAATTAGCACATATTTTTTTCCACTAAATGCATAATCCTTAAACTTTTTTTATTGCACATCAATTATGCGACAATTTTATTGTTACCGATACTTGTGATTTAAAAAGTCAAACATTATGATGTAAAAATATATAAATTTAGAGTATAATTTTTTTGAGACCTATTTTTGAAAAATAAAATAAAAAATAGATGTAAAATCGTATCCTTAATTTTAGATCTTAGATTTGATTAAGAGAAAAAATTGGGTTTGACAATCTCTAGCAGTTGAAATTTCAATTTTTCTTTTTTAATTTATATATGTGATATTGATGTCGAATGAAAGAGAATAAAAAGTTCTTAATTTTTAGATATTTTTTTTATTATAAAAATTGAATTTCTCATACAAAAGTTATGACACTTTAAAGATTAATGTGATTTTTATTTTAGTTGGGTCCCGAGAAATTCTTCCATTCACGCATCACCTTTCCTATGCGTCAGTCCTCATTCCCGTCTCTTTCTTCTGTCAATAGGGGTATCACCTATCCCTCCCATGAGTTTTCCTAATTTACTTTGAGACCTTGGCATACATGTTTTTAGTTGGGTTGCAGCCATTTTGGGGTGAAAACTTTACCTTTGGGGTTTTCACCCCTCCCATTGCAGTCAACCTAAGTGTCAACCCACTTTGGAAAGAAAATTAAAAAAATCTTCGTAAATCAAAGAGAAAAAAAAAAGGTAATACAGTACAATTCATATATGAATGAAAGAAAATCATAATTTTCAAAGTACATTAAATGAAAAACGAATTTAGTAAAGCTCAACCATACTTCTTAAAAAAGACAGCACATTTAGTAACATTGCCTAGTGCCCTCCTTAATTGCTGCAGAGAGTTTTCAATTCTTCTACAGCGGTCCTAGTGAGCAGAATGGATGCATTGAACTTTTTGAGAAAGTTAATTAACTTCATAAGAGTTTAATCCATTGCACCTTCCTTAGCTTCTTGTACAACAGGAAGAAACATGCCACAAGCCGCACATACCACCCACTTTGGGGATTGGGAAAGTGAAGTAGCTGGAGAAGAAATGGAAGAACTAGTAGCTAGCGGTCCCAGTCATAGCTATCCGTCTGAACCTTGTCTATGAAATAACTGAGCCTTTGGATCTTCTTTTGCATACATAGCGAATACAGAATTGGGGGATTTTATGGTACTTGAGGTACTATCATACATTTGTCCACATAAATAATCAATCAGAATGTTGTAGTTGAATTATTAAAATATAAATTAAGTCAAGTAGCTTGTGGTCTGATAACATCCTAAAGCAGATATTATAATAGGTCAAGTGAATAATAGGTACGATACCCCATTTTTAAAATAGATACCTCAAAATTTCACAAGGCCATACCTGAGGCAGTTCGAGGTGCTAAAGTTATTTTACAACAACAATTTCACTAATGCTAATGCCATAACCTTCAGAGAGCCATACACATGCAGCTAGGGCATCATTCTCATTCGCTTCCTTTTCTTTGAAAAGAATGAATTGTGTGTGTTCGAGGTTCCCAAGTTTCCCATTGCAACTTATTTCTGAAGACGAATTTTGATGAAAGAAAGAATTTCTGGATGTGTGAATGTATGACGAATTCTTGATGAAAGACATAGTTTCTTGATTTATGATGAATTCTTGATGATTTTTCCCTACCTTTTGATTCCATGTATATTAATGGAATCTCAGAGTGATTCAAGGAGGTAGCCACCCCTTGATTCCAAGACTTATACTCTCTATTATTATACATTTACACTGTAGTAAATGTTAACTTCTTTCGATTGAAAATACACTAATAAATTCCAACGAGATAATTAATTTGTCTTTAAAAATAATCATTACGTCAAGTAATGTCAAAGAACTTATTAGGTGAGCCATTAGATATTGAGAATTGATTCACCATTAAGAATTCTAATGACGAGTTCATGTGGGTGAATTAATACATTAAAAAAGATCACTAGTTATATTCACTTGCCCCATAATCAATTATCCACTTGCAAAGTAAAGGAGTGTTCTTACCATTATATGACATGAATGCACACACATATATATAGCTTAACCATAGGTGTGTAAATATGTGATTAATTAAACTCCGATCCTAGTAAAATTCAAAGCTACAATGATTTTTGCTAGTCCTTAATGAGTTTTCTGCTTTTATGCTCAGAGGATGTGTAAGATTCAAGTGCTTACCGCTACACTAAAAGTAATCGCTTATAGCAAAGCCTCCTTTCTCCCTTATAGAGGCCAACCAGCGCCACAAGTTGATTTAGGACGATATTGATCAATGATCCAACAAGACGTCTAAGCAAATAGGGAGGCCAGGGAGTCAATCTTGAACTAAGAAGCCAAATCTATGTGCACGAGGTCAAACCCACTCTCAACTAGGCATGACAATGGGTCGGATTAGGACAGATATTGCAAGATACAAGCTTGCCCCATTACTTTACTAGCTGGATTCGTCCCGCCCCATAACTCACATGAGTCATTAGATGTTGACCCATGATCCACCCCACCCCGCCATAATCTTATTAGCTAGTACCATGAGAGGATTATATTTGTGCTATAAACAAGGTAGGCATGGGCTACACCTCAAAAATTGATTCTAGCTTAGAGGGTAGTAGTGTTTCTATCAAAATTTTGCGAGGCTTTGGGTCGTGTGTTCAAAGTTTTACGGGTGCATTCACTAAATACTTCGTATTTATCTTTTTAAACACCAACATATAAAAATTGATGATTATCAAGCCACACTACCTCTCATGAAGAATAATAATATAAACTATTCAAACTCAAACTAACGCCTGAAACGAAGAATCACCCCACATATATCTGCCCCTAACATCTCAAGCTTTTTGCTTTCTCATGAATTGTTTATGTTTTTCATAAATGCCCTTTTACTTTTCTTTTAAAATATACTACTCAAATTTATATTCCTAAACTTATGAAAGGATCTTTCGTGGAATATTACAAATTATATCCAATTTCCAAAAAGTGTTCATTTTTGCAAAAGGATAAAAATGTGACTAAGAATGTCATATATTTGGAAAACATGATTTTATTGTCATATTTTCATGTCATGGGCAATTTTTTATGTCACAAACGGATCCCACATCTAGATTTTCATGTTACTTACGGATGTCACTACCGTCGTGAAACATGTCATTGTGACTTCTAGGAAATCTACTGTTGACTTGTTGCGAAAAAAAAAAGACATCCACGGCTGGTCACATAGGTTAGTTACAGTCACAACATAATTTTTGATGAAATTTGTTTGCCAAAACCGTCACCCGCCACCCTTCAGGCACCACCATTCCACCGCCACTGTTCCTGTCCATCCCCATGCCAAAACACCTCAAACCCCACCCCATGCCTCCTCTCCACCCTATCCTTGACCTGCCCCAGCCTCCTTCCCCAACTCCACTAGCTAGCTCCGACTAGCCCAACCCTGATCCAACCCTCCCCATCCCTAGCCCCAAATAGTGTAACCCAACCCCTGATCCACCCTCCCCATCCATGATCAGCCCAACCCTGACTCGACCTACTATTTCCCCCTCTTCAGCCCCAACCAATGCTGCCAAGCCATCACACCTGAAATGTAACCGCCACCACTGAAACCCTAGTCGTTGCCTCTATAACTCAGCCATTGGGTCATGTCATTCTAACCGAACCCTAGCTGCAGGACATCATCGATGATGGTAGTAGATCTGACGTTCGTCACTGAGCACTAGTCCTATGTCACAGTAGTCATCGTCACACATCTTATGATCTTCGCGGTCGTCCTCAGAAAGAGTAAGGTTAAAAAAAAAGAGTACAAACCTAGAGGAGATGGCATTGGTTGGCTGCAATGAAGACAATATCGGCAGTATGGATTGGCTTCAATGAAGAAGAGTGTGGCGTCGATTGGTGGAGGAAAAGCCACCGATGGGAGGCAATGAAATTTGAGGGATTGGTCGGGTGAAGCTTGATCACAAACGGAATCGTTTTGTTTATAAAAAAAACCTATGTAGTCTCTGATAGCGATGAACCGGGAGTATATCGGGAGCCGCCGCCCACCAAGGTTGCCTCAAAATAGGAACTTAAGGACTTCAATCGGAGAAAGAGATGGGAGATGTGGGACTGCCGAGCAAAGGACTGGTAAGACGGTGGAGTGGTGATCCGTTACCTCCTTTGCGGCAACAAAGATGGAAGCTGCATCCATGGTAGAGTGGGGCAGAGCTTGGCCACCACCGATTTGAGAACGATTTGGCTGGAGCTTCGTATCAAGTTCTCCACAGAATTAGAGATATGCTTTTATAAATTGAATCTGTTGTTCTTAGTCCATGGATGTTTCTTCAAGCTTTTGTTTATGCTGCTATGGAGTTCGAAGTCTACGGATGAGTGTCGGGCTTCTCATTTTTATTCATCTGCAACAACTTACATTTTTTTTTAAAACGATTTACATTTTCATTTACTTCAAGTCTTCAAGTTACACATCAAAACAATGCGAGTTACACAACAAAGTAAACCCTTGTTATTCAAAAAATGAATTTTTATTAAAAATCATTTTTCATATCCTGATATTA